TGTATGCTTACTGTGTACTTCTTTCGGCATTTTCCACATTATATGCATTATAATAACTAGAAAGCAATGCGAACACTTTCTATCTTATATTCACTATTGATAATTTTTTTTAAATTCTTATAATAGTCACATTTTTTTAAAAGTTAACCTTGATTTGCCTTTGTTACCCATGCCTGTGAATGGAGATAATAGATAGGTACATATTAATGATCATAAATAGTCTTCTAACAATTACTGGTACAATTATAATACGCATTAACTAGGTATATGAAAAGCTTGTAGACTTTGGCATATCGTACGCTGTGTTTAGTTAGATTTAAAAAAATATATATTAACAATTTTTTTATGTAAAAATTAGTACATGATGTTTCAGAAAACTCCCCCGTAAATTCAGGGGGTAATAGTATTACAAAAAATAAATTTTTTGTCTTATGAACTACATGTCTATCTCCTCTTGTTTTCGAGATACAGAGCGACAAAATAAATTTGTTTTAAGTAGAATTTTTACGAAAATTTCCAAACGGTGCGAAATATTTTTATAAAATTTGGTATTACGAGGTTTTTAGGGACGCCAAATACGCTGGTCTAATTATTTTTTGGATATTTCATAGAGGGCACTAGTTACGCTATATTCCTATTACATTTTAGGTTCTAATTTTTTTAAAGTTAGGTTTTTTACCATTCAGGCTCCAATTTCTAAAAATAATGTACTCTTGTTAGAACTTTCTGATGTGGACGATTTTCGAGAAAAAAGGCTTTTAATTGAACTCTTACAATATTACGGTGTATAAAATAAGTGACTTTTATCTAAGTTTAGGCTAATGTCAAAACTTATTGATGGATGTCTCATAAACAACGTATACATTCTCAGTAATATTTTAAAGTCTAATTAAATTTATATCAAAATTTTAGTTTTTCGCCTTTCCACAAATAAGATCCACTTCCGCTTATAATTCAGCGACCGGTGGTCATCTTTGTTTTCGCCGTTTGCCTTTTCTGTAATAGATGTCACTACTTTTCCGACTTCGTATTCCGATATGTTAATACACTCCGTTAACAGAGGGCAGCACAATTTGTCTAAGGTGATGCCAGATCTACAGATTTTTTTGGAATTGGGGAAATAGGGAATTTTGCTTTATTTCTTGGGATTTTTAAGTCATTTTAAAAAGTATACTTAAATAACAACTAAATGAACTTTAAATGCAGCTGAGCAATATACTCCATTTAAATAATTTCTCAGTAGGACAAACAAGGTCACTAGATTTACAAACAGAGGTATCCACTAGCTACTGTAAAATGTTTTCTTGGTTACGCGTTATGCTGCCCTCTGTTAACGGATGGCATTAACATATCGGAATACCGAAGTCGAAATTGTATAAGAGTGACATCTATTAAAGAAAAGCCAAACGACGAAAACAAAGATGACCACCGGTCGCTGAATTACAAGTGGAAGTGGATCTTATTTGTGGAAG